GAGGATGTCGTTATGATAATCAAAAATAGATTAAAGGCTTTAATTTAAATTATTTTACGAAATAACTTATCACTAACAGGAACCGTTTGAAATTCTAATTAAATGATAAAAATTAAAAACTTATTTATTTTTATTTATCGAAAATTTCTTTGATATGATTTCTTAAAAATGTTTATGAGTAATGTGTTTTTGGATGATTCTTTTTAACTATTTATTCGTGTCTTAGTAATTATTACAATGTCGAATTTATACACATTATTATTTAATGTGAAATAAAATTGATTAATTTATAGGGAACAGCAAATATGAGGAATTTAACAATAAATATTTGAAAAATGTTTAGGAATCCAAAGAATTGAATTAGTAAAGAAAATAAAATATTTAGGTGGTATTGTTGACCACACAATAAATTTTAAAGACAATGACGACTATACCGGGTGTTCAAATTAAAGTGTTACAACTAAACACCGCCTTTTATAAAAAAAACGTTTCAGACGAAAGTTTTATAGTTTTGTGGGAAAAATTTTTTGGCTAAAATCGTTTTTTATAACTAACCATTATATGGCCAACTTTTTTTCGCGCAGGAAAATTTATAGGTGGCCATTTTTATATTTTATGGAATATATCTGTTATTTACGTTTGGAGAAGAAAATTCTTCAAATAAAAGCTACTTCTAATATTATTATTATCTATAATTTTTGTTCTGTACCAAATTTTCCAAAAATGGTCCGTATTCGAGAAATTTGACAAAATGAAAAAAAAATATTTTGTTATAAAAATTGTTCGAACAAAAGTTGTTTGTAATACAATTTTCTATAATTTTTATCCTATACAAAATTTCTCTAAAATGGACCGTATTCGAGATATTTAAGAAAATGTGTAAATTACGAATTTTGAAGAAAACTCAAAAACGGATAAAGGAAAAAACATTAAATTTAAGTTTTATTTCGGCCTGAAGAAAATGATTAGATTTTGGACAAAGTCGGAACATCTGGGGAGTACTTTATAGGAGGTCGTTTTTATATTTTATGGAATATATCTGTTATTTATATTTGGAGAAGAAAATTGTTCAAATAAAAGTTACTTCTAATATTATTATTATTATTTTTGGTTTATCTCGTATTTTAAACGGTAGGTACTATCTTTACGGGTCGAACCAAGGTAAAGAAGCTTTTCTTGTTTTTTCTTTTTATTCCCCGAGAAATTTTCTGACCATGTTGCAGGTACCAAGAACTACTGCCTTCTGCATTTTAATATATATTGATGATGGTACCTCTAACTTTTTCAGAGCTTCATGGAGATTGCGTGGTACTACTCCTGTAGCAGATATAATTATGGGCAAGATGTATACTGCTTTAACCTGCCATAGCTGTTTTACTTCAAGAAGTAATTCGGAATATTTTCTAATTTTTTCAGCATATGCAGCTTGGATATTGCCTGTATTTGGGATAGAAACGTCTATCAAGAACGCAATTTTATTATCTTTATCTATAATTGTTATATCTGGCCTATTATGAGATACTGTTCTATCGGTTAAGAGTCCTCGGTCCCAGTATATTCGAGCTGAACTATTTTCCAAAATTTTTGGAGGGTTACACTTGTAGTAGGGAGTGGTTTTTTCTTTTAATTTGTAATTTACAGACAACTGATCATGCAATATTTTCGCTACATTATCATGTCTAACTTTATATTCCGTTTGTGCTAGTACTTGACATCCGGAAATTATATGTTGAATATTTTCAACGGCAGATTTACATCTTCTACATGCGTCATCTTCGGTGCCATCCCTTATAACATGTTTCTTGTAGTTTTTTGTACTTATCACTTGATCTTGGATGGCCATCATAAACCCTTCTGTTTCCGGAAATAGAGAACTGTAAGAAAGCCATGCGTTGGATGCAATCTTGTCGACATGTGGTTGGTTTAGTGCCTGTGCATGTTTTCCATGTAGCGCTTTTTGAAGCCAAGCTTGATGTTTCTCAGCGTTGCTTGTGAGTGAAAATTCACCATCTTTACTTAAATTAAGCGGTGAATAGTTATCGTCAATTGTTACAACTGCAAGATGCATTTCTGAAGTCTGTTGCTTTTCAAGGAAGTATTTTTTTAGAATATTTTTCTGTTTACTCAGTAAGTTGCTGATATCAATTAACCCTCTCCCACCTTCCGTGCGAGGTAACGTAAGCCGTTCGATGGCGGATTTTGGATGGTGGAATCTGGCATTTGTCAGTGATTTGTTTGTTATCCTTTGTAGTTCATTTATGTCTGTTTGCGTCCAATGGATAACACCAAAGCTATAGGTAAGTATTGGGACTGCAAATGTATTTATGGCTTTTATTATATGTTTTCCTGATAGTTTAGTTTTCGTTAGTATTTCCAGCCTTTTGATGTATTTTGCGATAATATCAGTTTTGGTTTCTTTTCCTTCTATTAACCGGGATTGTTTTATGCCCAAGTATTTATACATATCTCCTTCTTGCATACATTCTATTATTTCGTTATTTTCCAGTTTATGTTCTACAATCTCCCTTTTTCCATTTCGTATTCTTTGTGTTTTACATTTTTCCATCCCAAATCCCATTCCTATATCTGTGCTGAATATTTCGACGATGTTAAGAATTTGTTTCAGTTGATGTTCAGTACTACTATATAACTTAATATCGTCCATGTACATTAGATGTGATAGTTTGTACGTTGCTCCTTGTGTTTTCGTTATAGTGTATCCCTTATTATCACTGTTTAGCATATTTGACAGCGGATTTAGAGCCAGGCAGAACCAGAGGGGGCTTAATGAATCTCCTTGGAATATACCTCTATTTATGGGGATTGGCTGGGTAGTAAACTTCGTATTTCCCACTTCTACTTTAAGTATTGTTTCCCAATGAGATGTAGTTTTCTGTAAAAAATTCATAAGTGTGGTATTTATTTTATATATTTTTAGAATTTCTAGCAGCCAGCTATGTGGGATGGAGTCAAATGCTTTGCGATAGTCAATATAACCTGTATAAATATTGCGGTTTTTCTTATATGCTTGTTTCATGATTATTTCATCAATTATCAGCTGTTCCTTACAACCTTGAGAGTTTTTGCGACATCCTTTTTTGTTGTTCGGCAAGTATGTGGTTAGTCTCGCAATGCTTGTATATAGCTTCACTTATGCAGGCTGTCAATAGTTTGTATATAGTAGGGAGACATGTTTTTGGTCGATAATTTGCGGGATTCTCAGTGTGCTCATTTTTGGGTAGTAAATATGTAATTCCTTGAGTCATAAATTTAGGCATTTTCTCTGGATTTTCAATAAAGATGTTTAGGTATTTGGTTAGTTCTTTGTGAATGTTTGTAAATTTTTTTAACCAAAAATTGTGTATTCTGTCATTTCCAGGCGCTTTCCAGTTGTGCGTCACTGATATTTTTGCAGTAAACTCTTTTGTAGTGATGTAATTGTAATCCATGTTGTTGATCCTTTGCATTTTAATTTGTTCCTCGTGTATCCAACTTGCTGTAGTTTTGTGACTTTTGTTATCTGCCCATAAACTTGACCAGTAATTTTCGACGTCCAACTGTGAGGGTCCTTTAGTCTGCACCGTAGGATTTTGGGTTTGTAATAATCTGTAAAATTTACCCTCGCTTGTTTGAAATAAAGAGTTTTCTTCTTTTCTCCTTTTACACTCAGTGTAACGTCGCAGTCTTTTCGCATGAACTACTAGTTTTTGCTTTAAAGTGTCTAAAAATTCTGTGACGTCAACATTATTTTCTTCGTATTTAGTGTGCAGCTTGTAGTTTTTAAAAATTTTATTCACTTCTTTCACTAGGTTTTTTGATCTATTTCCTTGCTGATATTGGTTTAAGCGATTAATGTTGCTTCTGAGATTTACTATTTTTCTTTCTAGTCTTATTTGCCATTTGGGCTTTTCTTTAAAATTTTTGTTTGCACCGTTAGGATTTTGGTCGTAGACTTTGGTGCCATTTTCTTTAACACATACTAGAGCAGCACAATAAATAAGGGTATGTAGATCTTCGAAGCTCTGTACTGTTTCTTTGAGCATTGGTAGTAGGTTATTTATTTCTCCGGCTATTATTGCAAGCTTAGCAGATGTTCGCTGTTTAGGAATGTTTGGCCTACTTAACGGATCTGTGCCTTGGTAACAATTTATGGTGTCTCTTTATTTGTCCAACAGGTCAGTTTGTTGGTTATTATTGGTTGTTTCTTGATTATTAATGTTAGTTTGTCGGTCATTGTTTACTTCTTGTTCTTCGTTACGTTTTTGTTGATCATTATTTTCTTGTGTGTTCGTTTCATTCTCTGTCTCTATTTTTTCTTCAGGATTTTCTTTTGCACTTAATTCTTCTTGTATTTGAGATTTGATGTGTTCTATTATAGTGTTTGCCAGTAGTTCTTTTTTAACAATTGCTCTTCTTTGGTCTGCAACCCTTTGCTCGGTTACTGTAATGTGTGGATTTTCGGTTATAAAAAGTTGATGCATTTTAGATCTGTACAATGTAAGATCAGATTCTAAGTTAGTAGCTTTAAAATAGCAACGCATGACACTTGAGTTTAATTCTACACTCCAACTCATGCGCTGTCTAGGTTTTCCAGCAATAGTGGTGGCGGAATGGTTTTCCGTCAAAGCACATGTTGCTGGTTTTCGTGTCCTGATTCGCTGATTATTGTCATCATCATTGGGCTGACTGTCAACGTCAGGGTCAGCCCGGCTCCCTGACGCATCATCCGAGGCTTTGTTTTTGTTATTCTCCAATATGTAGATTTATGGTTTGTAGGATAAGCTCCTAGGGGCAGGTCTCCGATACCCAGATATTCAGCCGCCCCTAACATGGGGAACAGACGCTGTCGAGGTGTCGCTCCTGACATGGAGAACAGTCACACCTCTCACCATTAGCCCTCCTATAAGCAGTGAGTTGCTTTTGATGCCTTGTTGGTCCGCGGGAAGAATTAAATTTCCTCCTACCTTCCATATCTGGAAGGCCTTCCTCGATCCGCCACCTGAGGACGCGCCCGATGGGGGTTGCAAGTTCCCCTCACGGGGTTATTATTATTATTATTATTATTATTATTATTATTATTATTATTATTATTATTATTATTATTATTATTATTATTATTATTATCTATAATTTTTGTTTTATGCCAAAGTTTCAAGCTTCAAGCGGCTTTGCAGAAATTAATAAATTAATTGTTTTTGGCAAAAAACACTTCATCTGAACTTAAAAGCAGGCGATTAAAAATATACCTGTTACAATTTTCTCTAGAGAATTTTCGCGTGAAGTCTTGGCGGTACGAGCGGAAATGCTTGTTACGTGCTTCCGCAGCTTCTTCAGACAGCTGCCCAATAGCAACAATGCTACCGCCCTATTTCATTACTAAATAGCATTGCGAAAATCATAGATCGAATACTACTCACCAGACTACAGATACACGAAACTGACAAACCCATCATTCCGTCGAAACAGTATGGTTTTAGAGCCGAACACAGCACAATAGCGCAGGTGATACGCATTGCTCACCACGCAAAAGAAGCGTTTAATAATTCAAAACAAACAGTGCTAGTTGCGCTTGATGCTGCGAAGGCGTTTAACACCGTCTGGATCGACGGATTGATCTACAAAATGTTTGTGAATGACTATCCGGTTTTCCTTGTAAAAACAATACAAACATACTTACATAACCGACAATTTTTTATTAAATTAAACAATACTAAAAAAGGACCATATACTCATGACATACTCATGGGTCAAAATGGTATAAAGAGAGCGCTATACGCCGACGACACTTGTGCCTACAAAACATCGCATTCTGCTGAAATCGCAAACAGAAGGCTGGATATCCACGTCAATGGAACGTTGGTTCCTTATCTGGAACTAAACAAAATAAAAATAAATCCTAATAAAACAGATAGTATGATATTGACACACAGGTGGACAGATGGAATCATCACTAACTTAAAAATACAGGGACAAACAGTGGAAACCAAAAATAAATTAAAATATCTAGAAAGCAAACCATAAGTGTTGTATAATGATGCTTAAGCAAGGAGGCGACATAAACAAAACCACAATTTATAAATTGACAACGGTGTGATCGACGGCTGTTACATCGGCCAGGGACTCGTTTGAGGTCAGCAGGAGAAGGTACTTCAGTTACTGAAGAATTCTACTGCGTTTGAAGATCAAATACCTTTGTTAAAAAAATTTATTTGTAAATATGTAAATAAAGAATTTGAAATGAATGAAGTATTTTGGTCATCGTTGGTGTCATTGGGTGCCAAGGTACAGCTGCACATATAAGCGAGCAGTATCTAATGCGAATGTGTCTTATTTTTCCGGATCAATTATATGTCCGCTCGAAATCCTTTCTAGTATGACCTTTGATATAAAAATTAGGTCATAACTAATGCCCGTTATTTCGGAAGACACTTTCGGGTTTTCAAAAAATCTTCAGCTCGTGTTTCCAGCATTTGTGTTGCCAAAATTTGCCTTTGGTATATCCACCAACAAACCAGTTTCATTGCGAAATCTTTTCTGGATTTCCAGTTTTCTTTCTTTTTCAATATTTTTTTCCATTTTTGTTTTTCTCTCTGTCTATTTTTTCACTGGCAATTTAAAAGCCAAGTGCTTTCAAAAAGACGAATCCTTGCATGTAGAACTGAAAGCCCAAACTCTAGCTTCATGATTAATCAGGCTTTTAAAATTGGTTTAAGTACTTAGAGGTTGCACCACATATGTAACATCGGCTTGTGGATTTTGTACCAGTGGCAGCATTACAGACCTTTCCGTCTACAATTGTCATAATAAACACATGTTTAACCAAAAATTGTGTCCACCTCTGTTGCGTATAGCGACTTACCAGATATTTTCACAACAGTTATTTGTTCTTCCGTAATATCAGTAGTCTCTTTAACGAATCGGAATCTTATAGGTCGACAGTACCGTGGAGAAGAACGTGTTGGGTTTGCCCATACAATTTTTTCATCTTTACCACAAACCAATCGTAGAGAAACGAAATAGCTCTGAAATAATATGTTCTCGTCTGAGTCGGCATCATTTTCAAATTTTTGTTTGAACTGAGATTGCTGAAATCCATCGCAACCCCATTTACAAATTATCTTCAGGTTATCTCGTTCTTGTTCTTTCAATAATATCAGGACCTCTTCTAGGAATATTGACAAGCGCGTAACTGTAAGGTCAACTAAAGACTGTAAATCGCGCTCCGCACAGGTACTAATTACTCTGCATGATTCTGCGGGTGGATAGCATTCTTGTTTTACCTTTTGTAAAAGGCTATAACAAGGGAAGAATTTTTTATTAGCATTTCTAATTATTTCATATTGCCGACGAGTTAAATCAGCTTCTACGAACATTGCTAATGCTTGTAATGGAGTAAGAGAGCAAGTTTCTTTACTTTTTGATTTAGAAAATGCTTTTTTATATTTACTTGCACGTGTTGGAGAACTGGTGAGATCTTTGAGTACATCGGAAGCATCTCGTTTTCCAGCTTTCCGCAATTCTACTTGTATGGATGATTACTTCTTTATCTGAAGTAGATCGAATCTCCTCAGTTTTCCTCCTTTTAGTTCGATTACTTGACTCTCCAAATGACTTACGTGGCCGACCTGGCCGATTTTGTGTAACCACGGGAATCTCAAAAGTTCCGTTTAGCCATGCATCATTGTATTTGTAAAATACGTCTTCCTTTTTATGTGCTTTCAACTACCTTTCTTTCACTTGAGACTTAAAGGGTGCGTAACTGCGTTTCAGTTTGGTCTTCGGTGTATCCTTCGCCCGACAAAAGTTGTTCTTTTAAGAAATCTAGTTTTTCTTTTAAACTAGGCAAATCTAAATTCTGCATGCGACAGAACAAATATTCACAATTCTTACACCCGAGGTACTTTGTGAACCTAAACAAAAATAAATTCTTTAAAAATTCATTTAAGATCAATTATAATTTTTAGATTATTCTTTGTTACTTTATTAAAATCTATAATTATAACTAGGAGAAAAACCAAAAACTAACAATAGGGGTCAAAGCAATTAATGGGATTAAAAATTACTGCTAGTAAGAATTATCTCACATAATACTAAGAACCACTTAAAAGATTAAGTAAAGGTGAATTATTGATTTCAAATTTATCATTATATTCATCTAAATTTTAACAATAATGGTTAAAGTAATTAAGTGGTTAATGAGTTTAAATTAGTGTAATGTTTTACCATTAATGGGATTATCGCACATAATACTAAGAATCTGTTGAAAGGATTAGGTAAAGGTGAATTATTAATTTCTAATAGATCATTAGCAGATAATCTAAAATCTATATACATGTGCCTTATTCTCTATATGTAATACTAAAAATTATCACTCAAAGACTGTTTTTTAGTAAAAATATGTTTCGCAAATGTATTAATTTTTATTTTAAACATAACTATTTTATTGTGCAAAATACTTGGGAACCATATAAAAATTAAAGGCAAAATTAATTGTATAAACATTACATTTTGGTGGTTGTCAAAATATGTATATTGGTCAAACGGGTAGTATTTTCAAAAAGCGTTATCCAAGGCGTCATCTGATTATAATAGTTATAATAACTTTTCATTGGCCAATCATATTTTAGCTGAAAACCACTCTTTTAGCGATAATTTTGAATGTTTACATATAGAAAATGACACTAAAGTAAAAACTTCAAATAAATTTTAAAAAATTCAGCTTATTTGCTAAATAACAGTCAATTAAAAATCCATAATTCACCTTCTTTTTGTAAAAAGCTACCATATTTTGATTTTTCTCCTAGTAATAATAGATGTTTTCGAAGTGCTGAAAACGAACTTAACCGCGGTTTTCCGCGGCTAATTTTTTGATTACTTACCTACTACTCAAAGCTCTAACCTTTCGTATGTAATAAGAATTATAACAGGATATACCTTTATCTTATAAGCTCAATTCATTTTATTTAACAACACATATTCTTTCTTTAGCGACGAAAAACTCGAAGACACGATCAACGAAGTGATCAAATTATTTAACATAGACAACATGAACGACAGGGTCGAAATAGTGATAGGAAAAGACACCAGGCCGAGCAGTCTGCCTCTCGCGAAAGCCGTTCAAGATGGCGTCCTGGCTCTGTCCGGCAAACCGATAGATTATGGAATAGTGACGACGCCTCAAGTGCATTATTTCGTCGTTTGTAAGAACACTAATAGGGCTTACGGGCAGCCCACTGAAGAAGGTAAGACTTATTTTTTAGTTGCAGAAACGTTTTGTTGAAGACAAATGATTAATTAAAAAAAAATTTAAATACTAAAAAGTAACTGGTTTTTGTAGAAAATTTTCGTAAAAAAATACGAAAAAACTACAATTTTTTCAAGAAAAATTTAATTAATAAACTCAATTTCATAAGTTATATGCACAAAACATTCATTTTATAGGAATCCAAAATTGAGATCGCAGCGTTACCTAATACACTCGCCGGAACTGCTTATTTATACATTATTATACTTGGCCTGACATTTGTTTACTTGTCTGAGAAACTGTTTTTATCTTACTTTTAGTTTTGGTTTTTTTATTGCAAAATATATATTAAAAATACATATTTATATAAACTGAACAGTGTGGCTTTTAGTGATTTATTAGTTTTATTTACTTTTTATAAATATTAAAGCCGCAATATCACTGTATTTTTCATGTAAGAAGCAAGGGTTCACCATTTCCGATTGCATTTAAATCCCGCTAAATGTATTAAAATGAATCTTCTACCAGCTTAAAGTATAAGGTTTGGAGAATGAAATCTCTTATTTTTTATTTGTCCTGTTTATACACTGAATTTAAAAAAAAAAAAATAAAAAAAAAGTGAGTTTAAAACCAGAGCTAAAAAGTAGGAGATTTCATTCTACATATTTTTCCAAGTATCCCGCCAAAATATTTCTAAATTTTATTGGGTATTTTTCAAATCTAAGTAGAAATACGATTAACAAATATTTGATAAATTTATTTGTCAAATTTGAGATGTTCTATGAATACCTGTAATTGTGTAGTTCATTTATTTTTAAGAAGATGTTACCATATAAAACAATGTAGCCACTCCGTTTTAGAGATGGTTTCAATAGGTGAATGATTGTTTAAAAGTACCAATTTTTGAATCAGTGATACAGCTGTATGCCGTCTTTTATTGTTTCGTGATTTTCATATATATTTGTTTCGCTTCGTTCCAATTACAAAATTACCGATGTATTTTCCCAAGTGTTGGCCACGTTGCCAGATGTACAATAATTATCGATTTATACGATAATTTCACAATTCTTTCTCGGACGAATTTCATTTTAAAGTGGGTGAAATATACAATGGTGAAATGCAGAAAAGGGAAGAAACTTTATTGCATTCCGATTTAATTTGAATCTCAATGACCTGGCATCACTGTATGGTATGCATGTAATATTTGCTTCGTTTAGTTGTCTTATTTTTAATCAGAGAATCGTCAATTGTTATATGTCCCAATCTTAACGGAATACCATGTGTAGTATAATAGGTCCCTACGTAATGATACGAAGACCGTTGTCCTTTGTTGACTGGACACAACAATTAACTACTAATATACCGATCCAAAACTTTTATTTACCTGTTACATCGAAAATATTTCTCAAGGTCAAGAACTCGTTTGCTTATCATCTCGTAGTGACTCGGGGAGAGGAATTTGTTATATTCTAACAGTTACTGTTTAGAATTAATAGAATTATTAAGCCATCTGTTGAACAAAAGACATTAAATATGGAATATAGCTCCATCTGCTGAACAAAAGGATTCTTAAATATGACACGTAAATGACATCTATCAAAATTAGTTCATGTTACGAATATTGGAGTGTGCTACTGTGGCCTTAACGAACAATTTTTCCCATCTTTTGAGGTTAAGACAAAGTTGCTTAATTTATTTTTAGGGTCTACTTCGATCCTGTTTGGCCCGGCCCGTGGTAGACCCGTTGCTTTCCATCGTACGGTAGGCATATTTACACATCCTCCTATACGATGGCACCAGGGTGCTGAAATCTGTTAGCCTTTGTGGCTACAATTACGCTACAAAAGCTCATTGATTTAGGCACTAATGCATAAGGCCTCTCCGAGTGCTGAAATCAGTGAGCAAGCGTGTCTGCATCCTATATAAGAATGGCTGTACTTAAACTGCCGTTAAACGGTCGTGTACTAAAATGCCGTTAATAGACATGATGTCATTCAAATGACGCATTTGAAGTGTTTTGGGATTAAAAAAAATAAAATATACAAGAAGAAAACGAAGCAACGACTTCTCGTAAGGTGGCGGCTTCGTTGCCACTAAAAAATTTTAACCCATACCTGGCTACGCCTACCGGCATAGACTCCAACGGCCTGGACACAGCTAAATTAAAATGAAAAGTCTCAAATAACATACAATTTGTATGGGTGCCCAAATCAATGAGCTTTTGTAGTGCAATTGTAGGCCACCTGGTGCCATCGTATAGGAGGATGTGTAAATATGCATACGGTAGATATACGACACCGTACAAATCTGACAAACCTGGGCCCGTTGTTGGCCCGGGTCCGGCCCGTTATATCTATACGCATATCCCGGGCCAACAACGGGCCCAGGTTTGTCAGATTTGTACGGTGTCGTATATCTACCGTACGATGGAAAGAAACAGGTCTACCACGGGCCGGGCCAAATAGGATCGAAGTAGGCCCGTTTGATTTCCATCGCGCGGTAGATATACGACACTGTATAAATCTGACGAATCTGGGCCCGTCGTTGGCCCAGGTCCGGCCCGTTACATTTGTACGCACCTTTCTATTGAGGTTAAGAGCAGCTAATAGAGATAGAAACATAAACGTACAGTACATGGTGCCAATTTTTCCTATATTTGTGAAGCAAAAAATTAAATATTTTCATCCATTGGACTACCAAAGCCCTCTTTACAGTCTTTATTTTTATAATTACATTTTAGATAAAAATGAAAACTAGAATGAAGATATATAATGCTTGGCATTCTATATTATGCTCTTCACACCCTTTAAAAGGCCCCTTTAACCCCCCATTTTTAATCAGAGTCAATAGGCCTAATTCATCCCCTTGTAGAGTTTGATTTTTCTTGAAGATTTCAAGTTTATATCGTTTGGAGTTTGGAATTTTAATATTTCAACCTCTCCCCTAATCCTCCCATTTTTGATTTAGATTTTTTCTTTTAATTTCAGCCCTCTTAACCCCCCGCCATATTTATTCATAGGCTTCGTCCTCTTATAGAGCTTGATTTTTCAAATTATAAGTTGATACGAGTATCGTTTTAGATTTTTTTTTTAATTTTAACCCTACACCATTTTTAATTAGATTTTTTCAAAATCAATAGACTTCGTCCCTTTGTAGAACTTTGTAGAAATTTTTTAAGAAAATAAAAATTTTAAATTGTTACAAAAAAATATGACATCGAACGAATATTTTTAAAAGTTGTTTAAAATTTGATGACAATGATTTTGACAAACAAATTTTACCTGTTTTTTTTGTTATTTTGTTTTTCTTGGATTTTTTTTTGCATCGGTATCTACTGCTACGGTTATTAGCCTCGTGTTCTGTGTAAGCTTTGTTACTGTTTCCCAGCGCCACTTTAGGAGGAACAGCACTGTTAATTAGTACCCAACAGTGAATGGTTGAGTGGGGAATCTTACCAAGGCATCAGAATTAATTTTAAATAATTAAATTATATGAAAAATCCCGGTCAACGGTGGGATTCGAACCTGGGACCCTTGGATCCGCAGGCAGAGACTCTACCACTGAGCCACCCACCCCGTTTTTTCTTGGTTTTTGATTTTTTTTTTGTTTTTTTGATTTTTTTTGTTTTTTTGATTTTTTTTTGTTTTTTTGATTTTTTTTTTGTTTTTTTTTTATTTTTTTTTTATTTTTTTGTTTTTGTTTTTTGATTTAACACTGGTACTGAACAGTATAATAATTTTATATTTTACTCATTGTAATTTAAATCAAATTACTGATTTTATTTAAAACCCCATAAAATCTCAATTTAAAACGATAAAAATGTTCGAAAACTTGCAACTGTTTTGTGAGAAATCGTTACCAGAAATGTCTTAACTGGCGGTGGCGTATCGGTTATTTTCAGATCCCTATAATAGCAACGTTGCCAGGTTGCAAATTAAATTACGGTAAAGGTAGTGAATAGGGATGCTGGGTGGATAAAACAATGTCGGTAGTGATGCGATAGTGGCCTAATGATTATAAAATATTGTTAGGGCAAGAAAAATTGTTTTAAATCCTTGGACTTGAACGTGAATAAAATTAAAACTCAAGGACCGCATAATATGTCAATTAGGCATTCCAAACTAAAGGGCTATCGATGGAAAGGGTTGGTATATCTAAGGGGTTGCGACATACGATTTATTCTATCTACAACGTGTGAAATTATGAATACTGGATTAAATTTAATGCAATGAAAATATTATTTAAGCTACCGCTTATACATTTTTGATAAATTGGCATGCTTGGCGACTACTATTTCGAATAAAAATATAGCATCCAAGATGGAAGATAATGTCGCAACTTCCTTAGATATACGAGCCCTTCCCACCGGCAGCTATACGCCATTTTAGTGATGATGTAATTATGGTTCCACTGACAATTAAAGTGACAGTAGATTTTCTGAGTGCGTTTTGTTCGTTTTGTTTACCTAAATTATATCGTTTTTTCACTTATTCCTAAAGTACATGAAATGCATCAAGTATACAATCGTTTAGTTGCCAATTACATACATTTAAACTATTTTTTATGACTTGCAAACAATATTTATAAAAAACCTTGACACAGTAAAAACGTATATGTCAAATTTATTAATGTTTTTGTTAAAAGTTTGGTTAGAATTAAATGTCAGTGGAACCAAAATGACATCACACTAAACTCCCGTATTGTTTTGTTTGACAGGTCATTGAAATGCCTAATATTTTGCTTTTTAAAAATAAATGATGGTAATTAAGGTTAAACAAACAAAATATCAGAGCTAATTTATTATAATATAAATTAAATTAGCAAATGAAACATAATTTTTTTGAAAATATAAACATAAGTTACTTCAATAAAATAGTATTAAATCGTTGAAATTGTCATCCGGATATTAAGATGAAACAACTCAAATTAACAGAAGTAATACAAAATAATTTTAGATACATTTGGTCTAAAATATCATTTAATATCTTTACTGTCTTCCAGAGCTGGGACCTTGTCATCTTTAAAGATTTACTAAAAATTTTGTAATTAAACAAAAGAAAAACATTTGATTTCTCTAATCTCTACTGCTTTCGAAATGGCTAATTATACAGTACGTTAACCAGCTCATCAAGCAAATTAAAGATGGCAATCAGGATATATTGTGGTCAGCAGTTGTTGATGAATTGTTCTATTTCTGTCTGTTCAATAGCATTGTTTTTCTAAATCGTATAAGTACTGCAATAAGTACTAACTGGAGTATTATTTTTCAGGTTATTATAGGAAATTGATAAACGCGTTTTTGCGAGTAAGAGGTGATAAGTACAATAAGGGTAACTATGAGAATAGGCTGATGTATGATGGTGCTAATGGTGTAGGTGCTAAGAAAGTTAAATATTTAAGGGAAGTGCTAAAGGAGAGCCTGTTAGTGGAGATGTACAATGACGAAATAATCGGATCTGGAAAACTCAATCATTTAGTGAGAACTTTTTTATTTATAATTTCGTACATATTTGTATAATTTTTATTGCAGTGTATGTCATTTAGCATACTTTGTAATTTATATATAGTACCTGTGATAACCATGTAAATAATCTTGTAAAATTTGTTTTAAGTGCGGAGCCGACTACGTAAAATCTCAGCAAAAATTCCCGAACGGCGTGCCCAAAGAAAAGAACACGCGTTGTTGTTCTGTAGATGGGGACGCAGATCGGATAGTTTATTACTATTTAGACGACAATGAACGATTCCATCTTCTTGATGGCGATAGAATAGCGACCCTAGCGGCGTCTTATCTTAAGGAGCTCCTCCAAAAGACGGGGCTCGATCTCAAAATAGGCCTGGTGCAGTCCGCGTACGCTAATGGGGCTTCCACCGAGTACATATCTAACAAATTAGTAAGGATATTTAAAAAAAAAAAAGAATTTTTAACTTGATTATTTGATTTTTAGAATATTTCCGTGAGTTGCACCGCAACCGGCGTGAAACATTTGCATAGGAAGGCTTTGACTTACGACATTGGCGTCTATTTCGAAGCTAACGGTCATGGTACAGTGGTTTTTAGTAATAATGCTAAGCAGAAACTGGTTGCGACTGCGAGAAATAATAGGTAGGTTGTCACAATTAAAATTGTACGAGGTGCGATCAAAAATTATTTAATTTTATTGAATAATCTTTATTAATCAATTTTATCCCCTTCAAAGTAATCCCTGCTAGATATAATACACATGTGCCACTGTGCCAGCGCTTTTTCCAATCTTATCATCAGTCTCGGGAATAAGAAAGGAGTCATAGGAGACCATGTCGGGCGAATACAGTGGCTCAGGCAAAACAAAAATTCCCGTTATTTTTTGATCACACCTCGTATAGTTCAGTTTCTTTTTAAATTTCACTTTGCGTATGTTATAATAGTTTAATTTGAGTTTTATGTCTGATATACTTTATTTTAATCAATTGGCAATTCTGCTAACAAAAGTTTAATTGTATATTACAACTAAAGTATTTATACCAGGCTGTCCCAATAATTCTTGGAACCTAAGAACCCTACGATAAAGTAAGTAAGTAAAAATAAATGAAAAATTCAAATGTTAAGAGTCTCATGAACATATTTAAATATATAAATACATTAAATTTGTCGGTTACCGCCATACAGCCAATTACTAAGTTAAATAAAAAGAAAATTATAGTTAAACTGCTGACCCGATCCCGCTTTGCTGGAATTTTTGAAACTTCAATTATTAAAAATTAATAACAGTCTTCGTTAATCGAGAGAATTTTTTTCATGCGATTCCTTTATTAATTTCTATTAATTTTTATTAATTTTATCCCTTGTTCTGAAAAACCAAAACCATATCCATCCCTCGGGGCTCGTAAGGGATAAAAAAATACTTGTGGCACTCGGGGACTGTTTATTTTATTTATGCAGTATTTTTTTCTGTGATATTAATTCAAGTTTTTTCTTTCATATTAATTCAAGTTACACTTTTTGAGCGTGGTGACCTATAAGAAAACAATTTTTTTTCTTTTATTAAATAAATGAGAAGTTGTTTAAAATTTTTTATTATCTTACAATACATGTAGGTTATTCAAGAATTTTTATCATTGAAACTATAGGTTTATGGTAACTGAAATAAGAACCATAAGTTTAAGACTTGATATTCTCTAAATATCTGGAAAATACCGCGTCAATGGTGGTCCCATATTTTGTTGTGGATTCTTGTGGATCATTATTCATTTTCAAATTCAATTTTTCCAAAATTGTGTCTAAAAGAGATAGAATCAGTTAGCAGCTAGTCTACACGCATACGTCTAGTCGCACGCACACAAACACCTTGCCGAAGTCTGCCGAACTGAAACGACGTTAGACGATGCATGGCTTTTTCGATTTTATTTAATAAATGAGAAGTTAATATTGTTTAACGCCGCACCGCTTTGCCGGTCGGAGTGGGGGGTGTTAGGTTTTTTTCGTTACGGTCGTTACGGAATTTCTTGATTCAGTCGCCGCACTCAAAGCATGCGATAAAAGCTATGCAATAGCTTAAAAAGTAGTCTTAGGTGCTATTCCAGACTATAATATCAACCATTTACGAAGAGGTGGCTAGTATTGACATTATCAAGGGACCAGGACCTAATGGTATCTCCTCTTCTGTTTTCAGATTTTGTAGTTTTGTTCTCTCGCGGTCATTACACATTATATTTAATAAGTCTCTTGCTTCAGGCATATTCCCATATTTCTGGAAAGTGAGCTATCTTACACCTATTTTCAAGTCTGGTAACAGAGCAGACATATCCAACTATAGGTCCATCTGTAATCTTAGTTCCATTCCAAAGTTGTTTGAAAAGATAGTAGCTGATTACTTAAGATCTAAATTAAGTTTATCAATAATAGAAGAACAATTTGGGCTACTTAACCAAAAATCTACGGAACTGAATTTACTTGCTTTTGTTGACTATCTGTCGGACGTCTTGGATTGAAGTAGTGAGGTGCATGCCATATACACATACTTTTCCAATGCGTTCGACTGGGCCAATCACAAACTATTGTAAAATAAACTGGAGACTGCTGGGATCATGAGAACATTATTGCAATGGCTGGCGAGTTATTTATCTGAAAGATTCCAAACTGTTAAATTGAATAATTATACATATCTAAAAACATTCCCAATCCATCTGGAGTCCCTCAAGGGTCCCATTTGGGACCTTTGTTATTTTTATTATTTATAAATGATATCTCAGAATGTTTCAAGTTTGCCAAATTTTTATGCTTTGCTGATAACCTAAAGTGCTACCTAGCAGTTTCTTCTCTTGAGGATTGTCTTAAACTTGTCTGATCTGGCTAGGCTTGATGAGTGGTGTTCGAATAATGCTATGGACCTAAACATCTTTAAGTGTCACTCGATATCCTTTACTAGGAAGATCAACAGGATTGATTATCAATATAATATCTAGGGTACACCAGTGTCCCAAGTTGTATCCATTCGAGATCTGGGTGATATTATGAAGTCAATCACATTGACAAAATAGTATCCAGAGCACTAGGTATGCTTGAGTTTATAAATGAGAAACACATCAGACTTTACAAAATCTGAAATTATTTTTTAAGCTCATTAGTTATATGGTTTCATAAAAAAGAAGAGGTAGGATATCAACAGAGTCAAAAATAGAACGGTCACGCGTATGACGTCACGCGTAGAGTTTGTATAGGCGCGAATTTAAAAATACTATCTAAGTGTGAGGAATTTTCAGAAATTTCCTGAATATTAAAAGAAAATATTTTAGAAATTACATCAAATATGTAAAGTTTTAAATTTTGCTGAACATTCGAGTTCTAAAGAATAATTTCTATAAACATTACGTTTTTTTCTTGATCATATACGTTTGATTGTCTCCTGTATCCTGTTTTCTATTTTTCTGCAGCAGACTTTGTTTTGTAATTTTTTAATTTTATTTCTTATTTTTTTCTTTCTTCTTTAATTTTTCTTTAACTTCTTTAATTTTTCTTTTACTAATTATTTCCATAATTACTTATTTTTTAACATTATAACACTGTTTTTCTTCAATAACTCCTTTTTCTTCAATTATTTCTATTATTATCTTCTTATCTCTATTTCTTTTATTAACTTTATTTCTGTTTACTTGTTTTTTAACATTATAACACTGTTTTTCTTCAATAACTTCTTCTTCTTCAATTATTTTTATTATCTTATCTCTATTTCCTTTATTAACATTATATCTATTTATTTCTTTTTTAACTTGATCTCATTTTTCCTCAACTTTATTCTTTATATCTCTTTCTACACTCTTATGTTCCTTTTATCTTCTATTTTATTGTCATTTTCTAATTCTTCTATTATATTATCCATTTTCTCCTCCAATTTCTCTCAAAAGTTCTCAATCTTCTCACCTAATTTATTTGTATTTTCATCTGACATATTTATCATTTCTTGTTTATTTTCTTCCATTCTTTCTCATTTCTTGATTACATTCTTTTATTTTCTCTGATTTCTACCATTAATATCTGCAACATTTCCTTTATATCCATTTCTTTTTTACTCTCCTTGTGTCTTCTCGTCTTCTTGCACTTCTACTTGAATCTGATACTCTTCCCCTTGATTAATCTGTTTCATATTATCCATTTTTGTATTACTTCTTAATTTCATCTATTTTCTTTATTTTTAAACGACTTCAAAAAAGGAGGCGGTTCTTAATTCGTCGGAATATTTTTTTTATGTATTTTCAGCGATAATTCTTTACCACGTTGTCCGATTTCTATGATTCTCTTTTGTTAGAAAGGGGATACCTTAGGGGTAGAATCGTATACAATTGGTCAGGAGAAATAAAAAAACTCAATTTTTAAGGGCATCTCGATTTTGAAGTCGGTTTTTTAAAATTACTTTTATAACTTGTTATGTTTACTTTATTCTATTAATTCTTCACTACTATCTAAATACACATCCCCTTTTCTTACACTACCCCAATATCTCTCAAATTATTCTTAAATTAGTCCAAACACACCACAATCATACAGGGATCAGTGTACTACAGCAACAACAAAATTGCCAATCCTTGTTGATGTCCTGTTTCCGTCACCACGACTGCGGCCAAACCTTCGCCCCACACGTTGGCAAGGGCGGCTCCAGGTGGGTGGGGGGCCTTTCTTTAAAATGGCAGTTGTAAAAAAAATTCATCTGAAAACGACGAATTTTTTTTTAGCATTGGATGTACCCAAAATCTTATTTTTCTTTTATTTTTTATGTTGTTTTGCTGTTCTTTTTTTAGATCGCGGATCGCGATGCCGCAAGCAAAAATACTCATGTACGATTTTGCCTGCTGTACGTCGAATATGACGATGATATGACCCGATAGTGTGAATGCTTTCAAAAAGATTTGATCGTGACCGGACCGTGATTTGACCGTGCCTTGACCGGCTAATGTGCATAGACCTTAAGGGTTGTGTCTTCGATGGCCTCCTATCATAATTTTAAAGAAACGAATGCCTTAATATGTATTGTTATTCTACTGCCCTACGTTGGCAGTTTGACAGTCACACGTTGACTGCCGTTTGTTATTTTACTGCCCCACGTTGACAGCTCCACGTTGGGTAGCCATTTATAATGTTATTTTACTGTCCCACATTGGCAATTTCACAGCCTCACGTTGAGCGTAATTATTAGTAACTGTTATTATTTAACCTAAGTAAAATAACTATATACATTATTGAGATTCGCTAATGAAAAGGTTTAAAATATCTAAGAAAAAATGGATAGCGACATGGCAAAGTTTAATTTTTTTATTGTGCTGTTTGCGAACATGTATGTATTGACACATATAGAGTGAGCGATGTTTGACTTCCATAGCTACCCTGAATTTAAAAAGAAACTGAACTGTATTATTTTTCTTTATCTTATTAACCTCCGCATACTTATTGTCCAACGTTTACTAATAAAACACAGCACTAATTATTGGACAGCTAATTTCTAATATAGACACCGTTTTCGGATTTTATTTGAACATACAAATATACAAATTACTTATAATCGTTTGTATGGATGTGGTTTAAGACTGAACTGGGTGTAAGTTATACAGCCCTCACAATTTACTGAAAGAGCAACTAACTACATTATAGCTATTGAACCCAGTTCTTGCCCCACATTTAGCCTCACCCATACAATCCCCCCTCACTTTGTAGCCACAATAAATAGTAAAGTGATAATTTTTCTTCAGTACGTCCGCAGACCATAAAGAAGCTTGCTTTAAACTCCTGGACGTGATAGATTTGATAAACGAAACTGTAGGAGACGCGATTTCCGACATGCTGTTGGTAGAGACGATTCTGCACGAAAGAGGATGGGACGTCAAACAGTGGGAGGAGTGTTACACCGATTTGCCTAATAAATTATTGAAAGTGACTGTCAAGGTAAAACGAACGTCTACATTCCTATATATTCGAGTCAATTCACGTTTTTCTTAACTTCCAGGACCGTAACGTCGTAACTACAACCGATGCGGAAAGAATTTGCGTCACCCCGGAAGGTCTACAAGACGAAATCAACACCATAGTATCTAAATATAAGAAGGGTCGTTCCTTCGTGAGAGCTTCCGGTACAGAAGATATAATCAGAGTGTACGCTGAGGCAGCTACCAAAGAAGATACTGAATTGTTAGCCATAGAAGTAGCGCAAAAGGTGTACGAGCTCGCAGGTGGTATAGGACCTGCTCCAGAACTGCCTAATTGAATTCTAACTGTGGAGAGATTTACAGGGTGTCCACTTACTGTATATTTTTTATTAATGTTGCAGTATTAAGCCCTGCAATAAGGCTTTCGCCCTAGTCGGCCTATCAACTGTCAAAATTATTTGTGTGACACTGGCGTCTGTCAAATGTCACAATTATTTGACAGACGTCAACGTCACTTGACGGTTGATAACTTACTCTCCTTTACAGAGTTTTGAGACTCCATATACACAAAATAGAAGATATTAAGACAAAATATTGCACATATTTTCTTTTCCTGTATTATAATAGTACTTTTAGGTGTTGGTTAGTACGTTCAAATTTTATTCTACATATTTAATTTGATAGGTGTTCAACAAAAAAGAAAAAAGACATTTTTATATGTAAGTATATCAGCAATAGGTAAGTGCGTTTTGAGGTTAAGTTTGAATTTTATTAAATTACAAAATAATGAAGGACCGTATCATGTATTTTGAAATATATGAACGTATATTTATCTTTTTCTTCCACTAATAAACTTTCTTACACCGATTATCTTTTTCTCCCACTGATAAACTTTCTTACACTGATTAATACTATTCTAGTCATACGTTTTGATTTAAAGTTGTACAAATTTCTCCCAAATTTTATTTAAAACAAACGGGCAATAAGTAAATTTTTCAAAGACCTTTGACATTTGACACTAAAACTTTATATTCTTGTTAATTTTCAATGAAATATTTGACGTTTAACATATTGGAATGTAACATTTTATGGTTGTTTAGATTTCATGTCAATTATCGAAATATTTGACATTTAACTTTTAAACGTAACATTTGACAGTTGTTTGAATTTGTTGTCAATTTTCAACGAAATATTTGACGTTTCACTTTACACGTAATATTTGACAGTTGTTTGGATTTCCTGTCGATTTTCAATAAATTATTTGACATTTAATACTTTTACACGTAACACTCGACAGTTGTTTCGATTTTCTGTCAATTTTCAACAAAATATTTGACGTTTAAGATTGAAACGTAATATTTGGCAGGTGTTTGGAAATCGTGTCAATTGTCAACGAAATATTTGACGTTTAACACTTTGGAACGTAACATTTTACAGTTCTTTGGATTTCATCTCAATTTTCAACAAAATATCTTACGTTAATACTTTTAAACGTAACATTTGTTGGGATTTCCTGTCAATTGACAACGATGATTTAACGTTTAACACTTCGAAACGTAACATTTGACAGTTGTTTGGATTTCATGTCAATTTTCAACAAAATATTTGACGTTAATACTTTTAAACGTAACATTTGACATTTGTTGGGATTTGCTGTCAATTGACAACGATTATTTAACGTTTAACACTTCTAAACGTAACATTTGACAGTTATTTCAATTTTGCATGTTGTTATTTGTCTGTTATATTCTTACCACTGTTTTAATTCTATTGACATTTAATAACCCCATATTGTTTGTCTATTTCAAAAAATGTTACCAGTTGTATGTTATAGCCGAGTTTCAAATGTTTTCACGCGTTTTGTTTGTATCTTCAGTAATCTATCTTATCTTTTATAAACATTGTGGAGTAGAGATTTAATTTATCTCGTTACAATCAAAATTGTACATAATTTTTAAAGACTTAAGTTTTGGCATAACACAATGTGTGACGTATTTTATGGGTTAATAACCGGTTTTTGCCAGAATTCGTTTTATTTTTCTTATATTGTTTATAACAACGCGTTAGGGTTTATTATATTATTATATAGTATTTTATTTATTTAGTATAATACGAGATTTTATTTATTTAGGAGAATTTTTTATAGTTATTCTTTTTATTGGGTGGACACCCTGGTATTCAAATGGGACTCTCCACAACGACTTTATTTGAATTTATAATTTTTGTGCCAATATTTTTTTACTGTTTGTGTTTTATTTACGATTTTTTACCGATTTTATTTTAAATTACGAATAAATTCAACGATGTTTTATTTATATTTAATGGCGAGTGAGAATAGCGACTCAAACCCGTGCATATTAAACAATTATAGGCTAAAAATTAAATAAGGTCCAATTTTTATAAAAATAGTATTCACTGGGTGACGTGCAAACAATTGGTCGATTTTGACGTTACAATTGTCAACTGTCACTTTTGTAGCTGTCAAACGATTTAGACAGCTGTCTTTTGTCACTTCGTAGCTGTCAAAATCGGCGACAATTTAGTTTGCATTAATTTCTAACTGTGAAAAATACTCAAATATCTCAGGATTAGACATATTCCAAATTACAAATATTTTTTATTGTTTAAATTTGATCAAGCGTGTCAGTGAATTGACTACATGCGTTTTTTTAAGAAGGAATTGATAATATTAAAACTATATAATTGCTTTGAATGTATTCCACACCATTTTGCCAAGCCTGAAGCTTCGTAGGAAGCTTTTAGTAACATTAGCTAAAAAACTGCTCCTGGGTATTTAAAAAGCAATGTACTGCCATCTAAGAGGTATATTTTTAAATTAGGTTTTTTTATATATTTCAATAAAAGATGTTTCCAAAGCCGAATTCTTGCAATAGATCTATTTAAAATGCAATATTTATTATTTCAAAAATGAAATGTATTCTTTAACTTTATTTGTACCAAAAAAAAAGTTTTAACAATTCGTGGACAATCCCATTGTAAGCGAATAAAATGTTTATTTACCGCTGTAACTATTTTATTAATAAAACTTTTTAACTTAGCAATGTGTGTTTTATTTATTTTTGAAGTAAAACCTCTTAGGCCGCTGTTCGACATTTGACGAGTAGGCAGCGATCCGATATTTGGCAAGAATGGAGAGTGACATTTCAAGAACATCGTAAGGTAAAGTAAATTGAGTTCATATGCGATGTTTCTGTTTCTACAAGGCCGAGTGGATACACTCTAGTTTTTAAAAAGTTTTACTTTCCTCACGTGTACGGTGCTGCACGCGATTTTAGTGTCATACACCTGTACTATATTCGATTGAAACTATGAAAACTGTCAATGGATGTATATTGGGTGACAAAGAGACTAGGGCCACCTATCTCTTTTATTTATTAAGCGAATTGGATCAAATTTGAAACATACAACGAAACAAGATTTTGAATTGACAATTATACTTATCGGAAATGCTTTTAAATTTCCTTTTTGTGGAATCTACAGGTCGTCAAATTACATATGATAGTGTTGCCATGAACTGGAAAATAATGTTCTAAGTGATGCATATTGTTAGATTGGTAATAAAATTTTTAATCTAAAGGCGAAATAGCTCTCAATAGGTGCCATTTAAAAAAGTAAAATTTTGGTAAAATTACGTTTAAGAAATGTATTTGTTCCTCAGGATTTATTTTTAAATCAATGGATAAAATAGTTTTTGAATTATTCAAGGCTATATATTAGAACATTATTTTCGAGTTCATGTGTTTCTACCCAATATCCACTGAATGTCCAGTCCATGGTAGATATCTCCCAGACAGCACACCAAATCCTTTGGATATCTAATGAACATCCCAATATCCACTGAATGTCCAGTCCATGGTGGATATATATTTTATATCCATGAAATGTAATTTATAGACATGCAAATGTCCATAAATAATAGTAATTATATAGCAAATTATTAAAAAATTACGCCATTGTGCTCGCCATTGTGGCTAATAGTACCGTTCAGATATTTAAAATTAATTTTTTTAAGGTGTATTCTATATCCCATGGACATCCACTATAAATATAAATATATCAAAGTCTAAGCGCGGACGCAAACCATCGTGGATATCTACTAGATGTAATTTTTGATTTTGCTTCCTAAGTATAGATGGCGATACCACTTTCGTATCTACTCATGCTCAACCCGCCGTAAATGAGTTCGATCGAATTTTTTTGGCAATCACACTCTATTAGAGACTGGAGTCGAGAATTTCTATTTATTGCTGAAGAGTCCTAATAAGGATGACTTTCTCCTTAGTGCCCTTATAGTGGGCAAAATCAAAGGCAGATTGTTGGAAATATTTTTTATCTCTATTTTCTTTCGAGGTTATTCAATAATCATTGGTTACTTATGAACCTCTACTAAAGATACCTATAAAATATTTTGCTGAATATCTGAATTCTATATCCATATTGGATATCCACAAAATATATTCTGTGGATATCTCTGGGATTTCTTGTATTGTCTGGAAGATACTCATTAGATATTTTGCTGAATATCCATAGGATATCTTCTATATTCTGGATATAGACGGACATTTGGATATCCATATTAGATCTACGGAATATTTCTGATATCCTGTGGATATATTGGATATCCACAAAAGATATTCTGTGGATATCTCTGGGATTTGATGTGTTGTCTGGGCTATTTTATATCCATGAAATGTAATTTATAGACATGCAAATGTCCATAAATAATATTAATTTTATAGCAAATTATTAAAAAATTACGCCATTGTGGCTCTTAGTACCGTTCAGATATTTAAAATTAATTTTTTTAAGGTGTGTTCAATATCCCATGAACATCCACTAAATATATCAAAGTCTAGGCGCGAACGCAAACCATCGTGGATATCCACTAGATGTTATTTGATTCTGCTTACTAAGTATAGATGGCGATACCACTATCGCATCTACTCATGCTCGACCCGCCGTAATAGAGTTCGATCGAAATTTTTGTCCTACAGACTCCATTAGAGACTGGAGTCGAGAATTTCCATTTATTGCTGAAGAGTCCTAATAAGGATGACTTTCTTAGTGGGCAAAATCAAAGGCAGAGTGAAAATATTTTTTATCTCTGCTATTTTCTTTCGACGTTATTTAATAATCATTTGTTACTTACTTATGAACCTCTACTAAAGATACCCGTAAAATATTTTGTTGAATATCCGGAATATCTTCTATATCCTGGGATATAGACGGACATTTGGTTGGATATCCATATTGGATATACTGAATGTCCACAAAATATATTCTGTGGATATATCTGGGATTTCTTGTATTTTCTGGAAGATACCCATTAGATATTTTGCTGAATATCCACTAGGATATCTTCTATATTCTGGATATAGACGGACATTTGGATATCCATATTAGATCCACCGAATATTTCTGATATCCTGTAGATATATTGGATATCCACAAAAGATATTCTGTGGATATCTCTGGGATTTGGTGTGTTGTCTGGGTATCTGGTAAATTTGCAACCCTGAAAAATTAACAAAAATCAACAATTTGCACTTTTTTCAGTCACAAAAAAATTTGAAAAGTATTAAAAATTTTACAGAGCGATTTAAATAGCTTCTCCTATAAGTATAAATTCAAATTTGTAACACTTCAAGATTAGCGCAAATGATCTACGGTCAATTTTGCATTGCGAAATTAAAACAAAAGTGTTGCAAATCTAAGGAAACAACTAAAAAAATACTTTGACAAGTAATATCGAATTTCCAACGTTATATACCACTATCATGCAAATATTTAAATAATTTTCTGTTTACTGCTTTACAGAAAAAACCTTGGCGATTCAATTTAATACAGCGATATGTGTATTAAGAGCAGAAAGTAAAACTTTGGCAGTTGAGACAGAAAGTTGCCGCTCCACGCGTTATAGCAACACTTTTGTAATTTTTTTCTCAAAATTATAAATAAAAGCGTCATTTTGCTATGAATTAACTAGTTCCGGGCCTTGGAAATGGTTGCAAATTTAAACTTAGTGTTATTTAAACTAACCGATTGTTATAACAAAGTTTAAAAACTTTTGTAAATTTTCAAAATAAGATCTTTGTTCACTGGCCTATTACGAGAACAACGAAAAACCTAACTTTTTTGTGTACAGGGCCGGATAAGGCTGTTTTCTGGCAAACGTGTTCCTAATTTAATAAGAATATGATGATAATTAGTTTTGTATCAAAATCAAATACATTAAGGGCCGATTCCACCGTTGTGTTAAACGGAGATTAAAATGACATTGTTAATGTGAAAATGTCATTTTAAACTTCGTTTAACACAACGGTGGAATCGGTCCTTACACAATTACTTTTTCTAAAGTAAAATACTCTTCCATTCACCCTTTCGTGCCCTTTACTTTACCTTTACCCTAGTAAATTATTGGAAAACTGGCAACCTGTTAATAGTGTTACTGCATAAGTGAATTTTTCGCGACTCTCAATCTCAATAAATTTTGTTTAATACAAAACTATTATAAAATAATTTAAATTAAGAAAGTCTATATACAACTAATTGCATACAGTTAATATATATTTGTGGATTAAATATAAGAAAAATCGTATTAATTTGATTTAAAATTTTCAATCTGACGTCACAAGTTGGTGATACCAACTTAATTTTTTTTTTATCAGTGAGATTCTAAATTTTTCTACAAAAAGATTCTAAATAAATATTTATCAACCATTAATATCTTGTTTAATATTTGAAAATATATTATTTCTGATATTTTCTTAAAATATTTCGTAAAGTCATTAGCAATCTTGCAAAATTCAGATTGATTTCTTTTTAAATTCTTAAAAACCTTGCTTTGGCAACACTGTAGATGTGAACTCATGACGCTACTTTGAATACTGTATTTACAGTTTATTTAATTTTTTTTAAAGTAATTGGAACAGAATATTTCTATGCAATATAATAATCAACATTTTCAATCATTAATAATTAGTAAAAGTGCTTAAATCGAAAAAACAATTCGAAAATCCCGCTTCCGCATTGTGTTATGGCTGCTGGTAAGTTGATTTCGCATCACCGTTTTTCGACAACAGTGCGACCCCGATGAGGGGCTATGTGAATTTTTTGTGTGCGAAACAATCAAAATTTGTGAAATTATGGAAGGTAAATTGATTATAATACTAAAATTCGTATTCTCAATAGGCGTGTTTGATAATATTTGATCTAGTAGTCGGTGTCCTTTTTTTAACCACCATGCGAATGAAAGCTTGCTATTTTTTTCATCGCGAATGTACCAATATTTACGATAAAAGCTTACTGTTTGGATTGTTTTCCCGTTTGACTTATTTCAATAATAAAAAATTGGTGTAAATGGATTTGTTTATGTTCCAAATTTTACATTTAATTAACAATGTCGTTTTATAACCCTACTACAGTAATTTGCAATAAACGAAAATGTGCAGCAATTAAAAGATTGTGATATTGATTTAAAATGGATATAATTTCTGTTAAGTAATCTAGATTCGAGATGTGAGTACTTACCTCACTATATAACCTGAAGGCAACACACTTTTCCTTATATAGATACTTGTTTGACATAAAAATCATAAATTTCTCATTTTTTCCTTTACTAAATTTGTGGAATATTACGTTTTTGAACGGTCTCTAATCGTGTAATGATATTAGTTGATAAGTAAATACGTTTAAGGCGATATTCTTGTAAAATTGCAGAAAAAAAATCATTGTTTATACTTTTGTGTGTTGTCCTATTTATTGAAAACTATAAAAGATATAGATGGATCCCTTTCAGTTTTGTTTTTATCAATGATAAAAATCCATAGGCGGTTCAAAGGTTTGTATTTTTTAAAATATTAATTGTTTAATTAGGTTTTAATTATTTCTAACTAAATGTACAATTGAAAGATAATAAAAAGTAAAAATAAACAAACTGTGGGAATGTTTGTAATTATTTCAATGTCATATTAATTATTAAAAGTATTTTTGATAAAGATATTTAATAAATATTTGGTGCATTTATTAAAAGTACCTGGGTGAAATCATAAATATTTCAAGGTAAAAATTGACATTCGATTGAAAGTTACAATTCTAATTGGTTGGCAATAATTTTAATTGGTTGTTTATTATTAAATAATAACTTGTCAAGATTTATATAAGAGAGTTGGCAGATATATCTTTTAGATTGTTAACTTTTATAGGGACGATTATTTAGATAAAATGAAATCACTATGGAGGATGGGGATTTATGAAAATTATTTTATTTTTAATTTCTCATTTTCATGGCAAATTCTAAATAAGTACCCAATCATGTGTACCTACCAAAATTCTAAGATGCTTGTGCTAGATGTATTTAGGGTCATGCTTGTTAAAACAACAGTTTAGAAGCTTACAATATACCTATAGGTACAATATTTTCTACATATCTACTTGCAAATAAATAACTATCAAATAACTCACAAATCATTATTGAACCCTGAAATCAATTTTAAAATTAGTGATCCACAAAATGTTTCTAAAGTAGGCATTGGAAAAACTCACATATTTATTATATTGAGCAAAAAATTATTGTTTTTAAGTGTCAGTTTGGATTTAATTCATAGTTACACGTAGTTATCATAGACATGACTTGTATTCTGTCTTTGACATTCGTGGCCTACTTTAGAAAACTTTTTTGTTGATCACTCTTTATAATACATGAACAATATAGTAGGTATTTCTAAAGAGTGATCAACAAAAATGTTCCTAAAGTAGGCCATGATAGACAAAGATAGATATGAGTCATGTCCACGATAACTACATGCAACTCTGAATTAAATCCAAACTGACTTAAAAAGAAGAATTTTGTTTTTGACATACACATTAATTTTTCCTAAGCCTACTTTAGAAACATTTTGTGGATCACTCTTTATAATTCCTTTTCACTTTTTTTAAATCTGGGTTTGCTATGAAAGTCAAACATTGCCCACACTGTATAGTAAGACAGTCACTTTCAAAAAGCTCTTCTATTTCTATGCCAATGGTTCAGAAAAAAATGTAATGTTGCCTTTTTGTTTTTTATGGATGTCAGGTTTTTATTTTTCGTACAGCTACAGAAATATTTCATGGCCCACTAGACGGTCAAATAGATTGTAGTCTGAATAAAAGAGGAGTGCAGTAAAAATGGAGATTTAACGTCACATTCCATAGGCGTACTTTACAAAATAAGTTTCTATAATATAAATAAGGTCAAAGGCAGGGGCGGCTCTTGACCAAAATTTTGGAGGTTCACAGTAGCAGAATATAGATCCCGGTACAGATATAGGTAAAAAACTGTCAGTGTTTTAGAAAGGAATATTATAAACTTTCTGAAACACTGAAAGTTTTTTTCATACATCTGTACTGATACCTATATTCTGTCACTGTGAACACCCTCACGAGCCAGCACAGGTCACAGGTATACAGGGTGTCCCGAAATTAGACAGTCATATTTTAACAGCATAATCTACATCCTAAAATAGGAGTAAAAGTTCATATAAACATAGGTCCGAAAACGTTTCTTTTTAGAGATACAGGGTGTTAAAAGTGAAGTCCTGATGACACACTTTTGTAAATATTTTCTTAACGTTTAAATATAACTAAGTAAAATTTGGTAAGAATGCTTACCTTTTTACGATCTATTTAATGGACTAAACCCCAGTTTTTGATCATCTTCATAGGTGGGTAAATTAGGGGGGCTTAGGGTAAAATTGCCCTAAGTTTTTTTTGTTGACAGTTTTTAACATTTTTAACTATAAAATTTGGAAAACCAATGTTTTCTTTTTAATAAAGCTACTTTTGTTAGATCTCGCTAGGGCGCACCATTTTCAAGAGAAAAGCATTTGGACATTTCATGATAAGTTAATGTTATCTTATTCGAAAGTGTAAAAAGTAATTATTAGGCCTGTGGAATCAGAAATTTAATTTTTTTTAACTTTGGAAAACCGGTGACTAAATAAATTTTAGAAAATATTTACAAAAATGTGCCATCAGGACTTCACTTGTAACACCCTGTATCTCGAAAACGAAACGTTTTGGACCTATGTTTATATGAACTTTTATTCCTATTTTAGGATGTAGATTACGCTGTTAAAATATGACCGTCTAATTTCGGGACACCCTGTATATGCACTTCGTAGATTAAATTTTGAATGAAAAAAATTTAAGTATATTATTTACAAAAAACCTTATGCTTCTGACAAAATTGTTGAACTTTAACATTGAAAGATTATATGTTGTTAATGATATTAAACTTTTTTTAATCTCTTGACATTAAAAGTAACATTTCAGTACCTAAAATCTTCACTGTCATCACTATAGCTGTCAAAACCCATTTTACAGATTAGTATATACAGATCCATAACAAATGTAAAATAACTGACATTACAGCGAGTTATAAACTAATAAGTAAAAAAAAGAAAATATAAAAAATATATAAAATAAAAAAAGCAGGAAGAGAATTGTGGACAATATCAATATTCTGATGTTTGTTAGCTAATCGTAAAATTCTGGATATTGTCTCATTTTGTCCATAGCTAGTGTGATGAAAAGGTATATGAAATAGTTCAACATTCCAGGTATGTCTTTCATTTACATTGAAAAGTATCAATTTCAACAGTTTGGAATTGGATATAATACCATTTAAAATTTTATATAAAAAACAAGTCAAATTCTATTTTCCTGTGCTCCAATGTTTGCATGTTTAATTGGAGAAGAATATTTTCATAATTAATATCTATTCCGTTTATGCCCATTTTGAAAGAACAAATCCGCAAAAATTTTCGTTGTACTTTCTCAATGTGATTTATGTAAATAACATAATTGGGGGACCAAACAGAGCAGCAGTATTCTAAGTTAGACCTGACCAAAGTCGAGTACAGCAGTTTAAATGTATTAATAGAAAATTGTCTACTGTTCCTCTGAATAAATCCTAACATTTTAAATGCCTTAGAGGTTATTTGACTAATGTGAGTGTTAAAGGAAAGCTTACTGTCCATAATAACTCCCAAATCGCGAACATTGTCGTTAGTTTGTAGCACACAATTATTAATTCTGTATGAATAGTGAACTGGAGAGGTAATTCTAAAAAAGGTGAACTGATGACATTTTTTAACATTTAAGTACAACACATTTACATTACACCAACAGGACAATCTATTTAAATCCTCTTGTAGTAACAAATCATCTGTTTCATTGGAAACTGGTCTAAATATTTTCACATCATCAGCAAACATGAGATATTTACTATTAGAGATGACACTAGGAAGATCATTAATAAATAAGTTAATTGAATAACAACGGACCCAAATGAGATCCCTGCTGTACACCTGAAGATACTGTATTTGCCTCCGATTTGCAGTTACCTTATTTAACATAGTGAATCCTGTTACGCAAATAACTATCAATCTAATTTAATATAATATCACCAAACCAATATCCTCTTATTTTAGCAATAAGTATGTCATGGTTGACTCTGTCAAATGCTTTTGAAAAATCTGTATAAAGAGAGTCAACTTGACACCTCGATTCTAAGGATTTTACAATGAAATAGTTATAATTCCTAAATTTGTACATACAGGCTTACCTTAACAAAACCCATGTTGTTGGTCTGAAATCAGATGTTTACAATCGAATTTTAAATACTCATTGATAAAATAATCTAACATTTTAGGAATTTCAGATTGTATACAATGCTTATTTAAAACTTTTATTTAATTATTAAAATATTTACAAAAATATACAACTTAAAATATATTGCACAACTCCAAATGTTGTTGTGCCGGCCTGCAGGTACCCACTTGGCCAATGACGATAACTTATACACCATTTATTTATTTTTTATTAAAAATCGCTTGACCTGAGCAGATATCGAACTCACGACACATCCATTATCGTTTTACGCTTTCAATCGCTAGACGAGCTCGACCATGGAACCACTTGAAAACTTTTTACTAGATACAGTTATAATTGAATAAGATTTCAAAGTCCCGCTGATAGAATGAAATGCAATAGATTCAATTTGTCAATTTTTAATGACGTTATATTAAAAAAAAAAGTATATATAGATGGGTATTATCTGGTAGGCTTAATAAATAATGACCTAAGATGGACGTCCACTGGACGTCAAAATA